AATGCAGCCATTGACCCAGTTGTGGTTGATGGAAATGGTGTCTTCCTGAGGGAAAAAGTTAGGGATAATCCATGGATAATTAATGGTTAGTCACTGATTAATTTTTCAGAATAATAATGTGGAATTTTCTGCTCCTAAATTCCCATTCCTGAGAAAGGAAATGCTTCCATGGCATCAAAATCCTGGAAAATTCCTTCTTTAGAAACCCAAAATGTCCCAAATTCCTAAAATGCTGCTGTTGACCCAGTTGTGGTTGATGGAAATGGTGTCTTCCTGAGGGAAAAACTAGGGATAATCCACAGATAATTAGTGATTAGTCACTAATTGAGTCATTAGGAATGATAATACGGAATTTGTTGCTCCAAAAATCTGATTCCTGAGAAACACAAAATATCCCAAATTCTCAAAATGCTGCTGTTGACCCAGTTGTGGTTGATGGAAATGGTGTCTTCCTGAGGGAAAAAATTGGGATAACCCATGGATAATTAATGATTAGTCACTAATTGAGTCATTAGGAATGATAATATGGAATTTGCCACTCCACAAATCTGATTCCTGAGGAGGCAAAGCTTCCCTGGCATCAAAATCCTGGAAAATTCCTTTTTCTATGTCTGAATACTACATAATATCCCTCATTCCCAAAATCCAAAAGGTGGGAGAAGGTGGCAGGAATTTTGGAATGGAATCCTATGGAATCATTTGTTAATTGGCTGTGATTCAATTAAAATTCCCAGGATTAACAATCCCACCCTGGGTCTGGCTCATCCAGGATCCCATTGCTGAGGGACTGGAAACATTTCCTGACAAAAAAGAGGGAAAAGAGGATGCAGGCAGCATTTCCATGGAATACTCTCCAAAATTCCAGTGCCCCAAGGAGCTTTTGATGGTTTTAGCATCCCAGAATTCCAGGATGATTTGGGATGGAAGGAATCTTAATGATCATCCCATTCCATGGGCAGGGACACTTCTCACTATCCCAGGGTGCTCCAAGCAGGAATTCCCAAAATCCCAGTCCCCAAATCCCAATTCCCACCCCTTTGCTGATCCCAAAGGGATCCCAAATCCCAGTCCCCAAATCCCAATTCCCACCCCTTTGCGGATCCAAGGGATCCCAAATCCCAATTCCCATCCCAACAAAACCATTGGGATGCCCCTTGCTGATCCAGGGGATTCCAAATCTCAGTCCCCAAATCCCAATTTCCCTCCCTTTGCTGATCCAAGAGATCCCAAATCCCAATTCCCACACCTTTGCTGATGCCAAAGGGATTCCAAATCCCAGTCCCCAAATCCCAGTCCCCAGATCCCAATTCCCACCCCTTTGCTGATCCCAAAGGGATCCCAAATCCCATTCCCAAATCCCAATTCCCACCCCTTTGCTGATCCCAAAGGGATCCC